ATTCTATCTTCTACATCTGAGACTTGATTTTCTGTGTGATCTAGTCTGCTTTTAATATTGTCAAGGTAGATTTTGACTTCCTGTATTATAGCCTTTATCTCTAACAGTCCATTTGACTCTTTCTCTCTTTCCTCTTTTAGATCTTGCAAGAATTTCCTCCCTCCTGGAGCTCGTCAGCTCCTTTGTCCTGCCTCTTGAGCAGTTCATAGCCTCTCTCCTCTTTCATTTCTACTAGCTTTGTCACTATTCATATTGTAAATTTTTTAACAGACATTTACATGAGTTTCATTGTACTGTCTGAGGATGAAGAGGAGTTATTCTTTTCCCTCATACTTACTTTTTCTGATGAGCACATTTAAGATCTACTCCATTAGCAACTGTACAAAGAATTAAGGGAAAGGAAATGAATACTCTATACCTGGATGACTAGGTACATATTTACAAATAGATACACATAATAAATAAGATACAGATAATAAATAAACCATAAGATTCACATGCTACAGGCACAAACATGGACATGGTTATGGGGGGGTACCCTGAGGCCAGGCTTCCATCCAACACCATCAGTGCACACCTCACCTGGTGGAAGGACGAACGGTTCTCTGTGAACTCTCCAAGACTTCTGGATAACAAGTCTAGTTCTGTGTGGATAGACAGACAGACACATACAGAGGAATATTTAGGGATAGTCAAAGTTGTGTCATTGCGTGTCTGTTGATTCATACGCATACACAGGAATATACTCTACACACTGATAGGACATTAGTCTAACCTCAAATTCTTCCTATGAATTTAAAGAGGACCACAGAGTCATTCTGTTCTAAAATCACGCTGGTTGTAAACGTGTTCCACGACATAGAACTCGTCGGAGCGCTCTCTTCACGTCGGAGTTTCTCAGGCTGTAGATCACGGGGTTTAACATCGAGGCAACCACCCCAAACAGCAGGGACACAACTCTTTCTCTGGCAGGGGAGTGCTGGCTAGAGGAGGGGCGGATATAGGTAGATATGGTGGAGCCGTAGAACAGGCAGACCACCAGCAGGTGGGACGCACAGGTGGAGAAGGCTTTGTGCTTCCCTTCGGCAGACTGGATCTTCAGGATGGTGGAGATGATGTACATGTATGAGACCAAGGTGGCCATGAAGGCGCTGGTCCCCAGGGTGCCACCCACGACTAACACAAGCATTTCAGCAAGGTACGTAGGTGAGCACGAGAGGGCCACCACTTGAGGGATGTCACAGTAGTACTGGTCAACCCGACGGGACTTGCAGAAAGACAAGTGGAAAGTGGTCACTGTGTGGACAAGAGAGTTGAGAAACCCTGCAGCCCAGGTCCCGGACGTTAGCTGAGCACAGCGAGCCCTGGTCATGAGGAGAGGGTAACGGAGCGGAAAGCAGATGGCCACGTAGCGGTCATAAGCCATGACAGCAAGGAGAAAGACTTCTGTCCCTGCCAGGGCCACCAGGAAGTAAAGCTGCAAAGCACACCCGATAAAGGAAATGCTTTGCTCCTCGGTCAGGAGGTTCTGGAGCATTTTGGGGACTGTAGCCGAGGGACAGAATATGTCTATGAGGGACAGATTTGCCAACAAGAAATACATGGGGGCGTGCAGCTTCTTCTCAGTCCCGATGGCCAAGAGGATGGACCCATTTCCCACCAGGGTTATCTGATAGATGACGGCAAAGACCACACACAGGGGGTAGCGCACCACGGGGAGGTCAGCGAGCCCCAGGAGGAGGAATCCCGACACCACCGTGTCATTGTGGACCTCCATCTCCCCTGCCAGCTAGGCTGTCTCTGGACAAAATGAAAAACATTAAATAAAAACACGGGTTAGGGTCACAAAGCAATGAGTTCAGTGATGAAATGTTCTTGGAAAATAATTTGTATGTGACCAATGATGAATCGTGCTAGTCCTTTTGCTTTCTTTTTTTTTTGGAGAGGTTTTTTCGCTATAGGGCGCGTGCGCTCGCCAGACAGAGAGAGACAGAGAGACAGAAAGCGAGAAATTACCCCCCAGGGGGGATGGTCACGCCGCAATCCCTTCTCCTCCATTCTCCTCTCGGGATCTTGGGCACGCACGCACATGCCATACAAGGTATTTCCTAAAATATCCACCTTCATTTTAACAAGAGAATGCATCTGAATAACTAAAAAGACATTTAAAATTCACTTTCTCAGTAACTGCTGTTTAGTGCCGACCTGCTCCATTCTTTGGGACCCTAACGTCAGCGCCTGGCACTCCTCCTCCAGCCCTGTGCTCTCTCTTGCAGGTCTGAGCTGCCTGTGCTGTCAGCGCCTTGGTGCCTTGACAAGGATTAGAAATGAGCAGACCCACTGGA